TAGGTAGGGTCTGTATACAGGTTCTGACTATAGAGAATGTATCTGGTTCTCCGATACTTTAAATGAAAAGAGGACTTAGACCAAAACACTTCTCTCAAAAAGCCAGAGAACAGACCTGATCTTCTTATTCAGTGAGAAGGACTGCTAAGCCATTCTCTTCCCCTTCTAGCAGGGGAGCTGCCAGCTGACTGAGAGTAGCACTTTTTCAGGTAGAAATAGGAGAGAGTGAAGAGCTGCAGTGGGTGAGCACTGCCCCTGGCTTCCTTCAGGGTTTAAGTCAGAGCCAAATGAAATGAGGCATTTCTTCTAGCAGGCCATGCCATGCTTATTCCTTTCAGAGCTTATCCTTTCAATAATTTTTGGCAATGGAGATTTTTAGCAGGCAAGTTTTTTCATTATATCCAAAACTCAGTTTACTAAAATAATTCATGTTTTCTCAGGTGCAGAGACCTTTTATATTCTTAAGTGGCAGTGGTGGGAAAAATATCATGCTTAAGAAGGCTCTGGAGGGTGTCTCAAGGGAGGTGAACTGTAGTAGTGGCACAATGTAACACTTGTTCAGTGATTCTGCAATACCAAGGCATTCCATTCTTTAAACTGAAACACAAATCCCCTGTGTGATGGTGATTGGGGTGAAATTTGTGATTGTTCTTGTGGCATACTAAGCAAGTGAGGTGAATGACTGCTTCTAAGTGTGAGCTATGATATTAATTCCTGTCTCCTTGGAAGCTGGTTAGGAAAGTTGCCATCTACTTTTATTTACTCATGGCTCACCTTTCACATTTGCACATCTTGCAGTTACTGGTGTCTTGCATTATTTGTTTAAAAACTAATAGAAAAATGGAAGGGTCGCTGAAGGACAGAATAAGAAGTTTAAAAATGTAAAATCTGAATCACTTGTAGTACTTGATAAGACCCCTTAAAAATGTAATTTAAAACAATTCTACAAGTTAGCCCACTAAGAAGCAGCCTCTTCATTAGTAGCACCTGTTCTTAAACAAAAGTTGAGCAGTAGCAGCAAAACTATTCAAAATAGATAGTCATTCCATTCTAATGGAATGTCACCCACACATTTTTGTTGCAGTAGACATCTTAAAGAACTACACAAAACCTTTGCAATCTTTGAATGTGACAGATCCACTATAACAAAGCTGTAAATATTTCCTACGCTAAATGAATGCAGCCAGCATCATCATAGTATTAGCAATATTACTTGTAAAGTAACTGCACATCAATATGTCATGTTTGCAGAATCTAATAATTATGCAATTTTTCAAAACATGTAAAGTTATCATCAGCACCATCCTGTATTAAAGATTTGGTGCAAATTCTGCAAAGGTGAATATATACCACTGATACAGCCTTTGCTGTGAAAAAGTCAGTCAATTTTGGACACAAATATAAAATAAAAAGTTGGCACATTCAGGAAATACAGTGTGTTCAAGACCATTCTTTTAATTGACATCATCACCCTCAGATAAAAGTTTTGAATCTGAAGAAACAAGTTGCATGAAAATGTTTCACATTAGTTCTGGCATTGTGCTTTTCCCCCCACCACATGCTTTTCACAGGCTCATGCCCATTGCACATCAGCAATGCAGGGCTGCTGGTCAATAATTTGGCACGTAAGGGTAAATATCAGCTCAAAACAAAGGGAGCAGAACCTGTGTCAAGATGTGTTTACTTGGTGGTGGCATGGACCAGCTGATATGTCTCCTCTTAGTCCTTGTACGCTCGTGTGGGGGATGTGCCTTTATAGAAGATGTTTCTGGTGTTCTCTGGACTGCTCCCTCTCTCAGGGATTAAAATGATGTTACCTTTTCTTCGAAGTGTTGAGTCCCGGCTAGAAGAAATGGACAGAGTCTCTGAGCCAATCTCACTTCCCTCCACTGGTGTGACTCTTATTGTAGTGATTCCATGATGGTGATGCTCAGTGTTATCTATGTTGCTTCTTTTCCTGTCACCTGACCCATAAGTGTCTTTTAAGGAGTCACAGCTCTCAGAGTCTCTGTTAAGATCATTTAGCTCATATGTTTGACGAAGAGTGACTTTTTCAGGACCCTTCCATTTCCATGACCCACTTCCTTCACCTTCTGATGGCATCTGAATTACAGGTCTGTTATTTTCTGGATGGGCCTCAACTCTAACAATGCTGCTTGGCTCATGGTCTGTCAAGGTTTTATATCTGATGGCTCCTGTACAGGTCACTGTGCTTCCCTCCGAACTTTTTGGACTGCCCTGAAGCACTCCTTGCTGCTTAGACATGGCTATGACTTGCATGATTCTTGGCTGGCTATTGCTCCTGCATGCAACACTCTTCTCAGCAGCTTTCAGCCATTTAGCTCTAGCTGAACTACTTTTGGGTGATGTGTTCACATTCTCCTGAGTCTCTTCAGGAATGTGTACTAGCTGGGATGAGCCAGGACGGGACTGAATAGAGACCCTTGGCCCACCAGTTAGACCTGAGTTGTTACAACCTGGAACACTGCCAGGTTGGATTTTCAGGTATTGGCTAGTTGGGCCATGATGATCACCATTTACACCCACTCTGGAGGGTTCTGAGCTTGACCTCATTTCGATAGCCCTTGGTGGTGACTGGCCAGATTCAGTCTCTATTACTTGCAGGGACAACTTTCGATTTTCATTCTTGTTCTTCCACTGGGACAGCAGCTGTTTGGAACGGGCAGAATCCATTGATGCGTGTATTGTTGCATTGCGTCTTGCTGGATCTTCCAAGGATGGTGTGTTGACTCTTGGCAAAGTGTTGCTGAAAGTAACCATGTTTTCCTTTCCCATTGGGCTTCGTGGTGTTATTATTTCTACATCAGCATTTGCCCTCTTGAGATTGGTCAGAGAGCCTGAATCTCTGTGGTTTCTATTCAGAATACTTTCCGTACGGTGAGAGACAATGCCATCGCTGCTGCTGCCATTTTTACCTGGCAGGATTCTGTTGGCATCTTGACTGAGGTCTGTCAATGACCTTAGAGGTTCTCTGTGAAAATTTGGGTGAAACACATTCTCGTCACTTGGTAAGAAGTTCCCCACAGCATAGAGGCCCTGATATTTGGACAGAAGCATCAACAGTCAGTTAAGAAAGTTAAAAGGGACACATTTTAAGGTACTTTAATTGCATTCTTTTGCTTTTAAATATAATTCAGTGACATCATTACTCCAGCTAAACTGACGGGTATGCAAGTAAGCATAGTAATATATTTCCTCACTAGTTTTGCCTTAGCCCAAATTATGTCCTCAATCTGGTACCTCTAGGTTTATGTGAAGTAGTCTCACTAGGACATATTATTCATGGCAATAAATAGTTGAGGTAAGGATTTAGCCTCCATGAGCTTTCTTCTTTTTATCAAGCAACAGATTCAGAAATAATGTTTTGTTAGAAAAATAGCAAAATAAGATGTTTGCAGTTTCTTAGGCAAAGCTATTTTACAACTACACTATCATTTACCCAGATTTACCAAATCTTGGTACAGCTTGGGTTGTTCTCTGCTGTCTGCAGATTCTTTTTACTGCACAATAACCATGTAATACAATATCTACATCATAGAAAAATGTATCAACTTTTAATCAATTGCTTTCCAAGCTGTGCAGAACTTTAATAAGATTTACTTCTAAAACATTTTCCTAATCAGAAGACTCACTGTAAAAGGCTGTCATTTTAAAAAGACTCCACTGAGAGTGTTCTGTGAGGGGCTCAAATATCTGACTAAATCATTTGAGTTACTCATTCTTTACACTCCTTTCAGAATTATTTGTCATCCTCCTCTTGGTGTGTAGTTTTGAGGGCAGTGTAGTTTTTGCGCTGAGTATCCAGGAAAACATACTCTCTGCTGTATGATGTCACACAACAGTATATGAAGACCTAACAAAGTATACTTGGTTGTGCATTTCAAACTGGGGACAGCAGCTCCATTTAGATAGATCTACAACAGAGAATCATTTGAAATAATATTCTCAACAGAGTGCCTTTCTGCTCACAGTGCAATCATAGAAGCTGAATTTAGTAGCTCATGGGATTTCTGTTATTATCCTGAGTGCTGTTTCTTCAGCCACTCTGAAAACCATTTTTCCCTGGACACCTTTGCAGACCATCTGCAGGTACATCAGGTTATGTTATCACAGAAAAAAGGGGGTCAGGAAATAAACTTATTTTAGCATTATAGTAAAATTCATTATTGAATTCTTGGGGGTAAAACCATCCCACTGCCTGTTAAGACTCTTCTGTTCACCTGCCTACACTCAAGCAGTGGTGTCAGCAGAAGCTCTGATTGCTCCCAGGCACCTGTGCTACTCTCTGAGCAGCCAGGGCAGCAAATTCCTGCTGGAGACATACTGAGAGCAGCAAGTAAAAGCAAGTGCTTGATGAGCTTCCTACTGGCAGATATGACCTACATGCTTCCTTACAGAACCCTTTCAAGGTGCTCCATCTCTTTTGACACACAAAGCATAGGAATAACCTGATTTAACCATCCTTTTTCCCTTGCATGGTTTCCCTAAGAACTCCAAAGAATGACAAGTGTATAATATATTGCCTTTAATTTCCTGCAGATTCAGCAATTCACTCAGATTAGTTGCTCATACTAATTCAGTAATTTTTTGAGATCATAAAGCAGACACTGTCAGTATCAAGTCAGGTCAGCAACAAATACCAATTAATCAAATATTTTTCTTGTGTTATGCTTTTAAGTGTGGATTAGAAAAGATTAATATTTTTAAGTATTTAATAAAGTACACAAAGCTAGAAGCATTTCTGTATACAATGCCAGACAATTCCACTTAACCATGACTATTATATTTACCAAATAGAGAGCAATTCCTCCTCCTATAAGAAAGCCACAGTAAACATCAACCGGATGATTCTTGTACTGGGTGATACGAGTCAGACCACATATAATTCCACAGATGATAAAGGCAAAGACCAAGAGTGGTTTTAGAAGCTTTGAGGAGTCTGTTAATGTAGAATTGAAGTACATCTTAAAAAAGAAAGAAATAAAGAAGCGGTTGAAGAAATTTAAATATACCTAAGAGGATTTTAATGTCTCATGTTCAGTGTTTCTTTTATATACAGATCACTAGCACACAGAAATATTACAAGTAATCCTTTTAATTTTACTTTACCGCCCTGTTAAAATTTGTTCACATTCTGCAGAAAGATCTGAAATCACAAGGAATGGATTTCCAGAACACAGGCAGTGTTTCTAATTGACATCAATTAGGATAAGTATTTTATGCCTCAATACTGTTCCAAATCAGCACCTAAATGTTCTATAAATGTGACTAAGGAGCCACCACTTGTGAAACACAGAAGCCAGATGTCATGCCAGATGCACGCAATAACCTGTTCCAAGAAAAGCTGCCACCAGATGCTTTAGAGAGCCATTTCTCAACTGAGGGCCATAATATCACGGAGGTTACAAAAATTAAGTGGAGGTGGTTCATCAGTGTTGTTCCAAATTCTGGCCTTTCTCTGGGCAGAATAAATACTGGCAAGCTCCCAGTACATGCACAGTACTATTATCCAATGTCATTAACTGGTCTTTACTGTTGTTTTCCTCTAATTTTTACAGTGCAAGTGATGGAATTACTTTTTAAACTTCAAGTAAGTTGTCTATAGTACAAACATTGTGGGCCATACTGAAGAACTGTTACTGCTCAGAAGTGCAAAATCATCTGTGATTGCTGCAGCATGTCCCACGATTCTCTGCTACTGACTGATGGGTTTTATTCACTTGCTTTGCAGTAACACCTTGAAGGCCTCTGGGAGTGATTGTGCCATTTCATCCATGCTGCAAATCTCTGGAGGTGAAATCAAACTACATCACATCAATGTATGGCCCTTAATGCCTCAAGTTTAAAAGCAGCAAATCAAGTGAAGACAGCAACAAAGAAAAGGCAGCATACATAACAGTTAATTTGACTGGTAAGTTAAAATATCACTCTGTAAGACAGATAAACACTGCATTTTATATGAAGATAATATGAGGCATCAAACATACTTTAACATAACAATTTGTTTTTGCTTCTTAACAAAGAATATGAAGCAGTTGAACCTTTTCCTTATTCTTTAATAGCTACAATAAAACTAGCTTTATTAGTAGTTTTATTTTACTTTCAGATTATTAGGATAAAAACATCCATCCATCCATCCATCCATCCATCCATCCATCCATCCATCCATCCATCCATGATATCGAGACAACACATAATTTTACAATATACAGGAAATTACTTTCTGACTTTTGTCTTGTATAAATGAAACTGAGCAGAGTTGTTTACTCACCGAAATGTACACTGCTGCAAAGGCTGCCAGGGTGGCATGTTGAGAAGGGAATGACTTTCTGCCAAGGAAGGACACTCAAATTATACTTCTCAGTTCAAATGCACAGTGCTAGTGCTCATTGAAAAAAAACACTGGGTGGTACAGCTATCTTATACTTCCTAAGCAATATGTGATCTATTGGTAACATTTGTCATTGGGTGACATTTTTCTCAGAGAGAGGCAAACTACATCTTTATTTGCTATGTCTATAGGTTTATTTAAAAAAAATTCAGCACTTTACATCATGACAGAAGCTAATGGAGCACAGCAACATAGGGAGGATATTCTAAGAATTACTGGGCCCCTTCTTGATGGCCAGAGAAAGAGAATAAATGAAAACATGTCCAAACTCTGAGACAGTAGGCAATATCAGGTCTGCACTTGAAGGGCCTTCTGCTCCCATTGAAACTCTGGAGACTTGAATGACCATTTCAATTCTCTAAAAACAACTAAAGAAAAGCGATATGAATGCAAAGGAGGTTTTTACATGGTAGAGAGAGAAAAAATCTGGGTTTGAATTCAGTAATTCCTGCTGTGCTGTGGACATCTAGATCACAGAAGCCCTAAAAAAAGTCTATGACCTCTGAGCTCTAGGAATGAGTCAGATACAATGAGGATTTCTCTCTTTACAATGGCATAGATATGTGACATGCTGCATGTCTTGGTGAAGAAGAGTATGTTTACCTTTCAGTCACAACAGCAGCTTTCACCTGAGAAAGCTCAGCTTGGGATAAATACTTCATATAATTTGGCTTCACAGATGGGTTTTGCCATCCTAACGGGGCTCCATGTACAGTCAATTTCCTAGCAACACCTGAGTGAGCTAGTTTAAAATAGCAGAGACTGAAACACAGTTCTTTAGCTCAGACAGACATTTGTTCTGCAAAGCAGCAGAGTCTGCTTTCTAAACTTCTTTCCTATGCATTTTGCCTTGTGTGTTCTACATAATTAATTGGCAATTAAAAATGTGCATGTAGTTCAGTATGAATGCCACTCTGCTGACCTCAATTTGAGCCTATGCCTCTAGCAGGTTCATGATTCTGGCCAAGATGAAATCTGCATGGCTCCATTTGCATTTCTAAAAACAGATCTAAATTCTTCTTCATCTTATTTTATTTTTAACCTCCCTGAACAAATCTTTCACAAATAGTATTCCTGCAGAACAAGCTCAGGTTTGAGGGCTGGGGAATAAAGACATCAAAAAAAATTAGGGTAAATGTTTATAATAGCCAATCAACTCCTTTACCCTTTGCAGGCTTTAATGAAACATAAATCTGTTTAGAGTCTCTGTGGAGCTAATATGTATACTTGAGTCCTATGAACTTTTCTAGCACTTAACCTTAATTTGATGGCATTTTAATAGCATATAAGGTGTGTCACAATGGCACAGTCAATTTTATCTTTATTCTCTTTTCTATTCACATGCTTTCAGGGCAAACACAGACTAAATGCACTCTCAGTACTTTCTAATGGTGTCATTGCTTTTGTTCCTCTATTTGTTATCTTTTAATCTCAAATGAATATAACTCCAGCTAAAAATATGTAGCCTTTTTGTATGGCTCTGTATTGAAAAGGTGAACAAAGGTCTCAAAGAAAACATGTCCCGAACTCAAATGACAGTATATCACTCTAAATCTGCATGCATGAGGATGTGCAGAGGGGGAACAACAATGAGTCCTACTGAGGGAGAGAGTCACACTGAGTCAGAGCATCAGAGATGACAGAGGACAGAGACCTCACTAGAGAGTTGAACAAAAGTGACTGAAAAGGCTCAATTATCTTCCTCTGAAGATAATAGAGGAAAAGATGGACAATAGGAACCACTGGATATTTGGGGATGTTGCAGAAAAATTATTTGATGTAACCAGTTGGATAATTATGTGCTCCTCCCTATGCTTTCATACAGGAGTCCAGAGGCAAATTTCTGGAGCCAAAGTTTCTGGGAAGTACAAATCAAAAATGAAGGGCATTAGCAAACTCAGAACAAGTTCCTTCCAAACTGTAATTATTGAAGTCAAATTAACCTCCTGTACTGTAGAAGTTATACCATAGTTTCTATATAACTTCTAAGTTATTCCATAGTTTCTATAGGAAGTAGCAAGTGCTACTGAAGAACCAGTAGCAAGTGCTGCTTGCAGTGGTAAAGTTGAGACTGGCATAAGGAAATAGCAACATAAAAAAGGAAAAATGCAACAAAATTGAATTCAGGAGAAATTGTGGGTGGTGCCAGAATATTATAGAGAGACAAATATATCCTCTATGATGGGAATAACTTCGAGATATCAAGATATGGTTGTTTTTCTAGGGAAACAGAAACACCCAAAACCTGATTGCTTAGTCTTAATATGTTACAACTAATTTCACTGTTTTTTTAGAAGAGGTGGTATTTAAACTTAAGAATGATTGGTGATTTTGGAATGGCTACAGGCAGTCAATTCAAAGCAGTAGACATCATATTTGAGATAATGAAATGAATGAGATGTAATTGTGAAAATTTTTCTGCCTGCTCCTATGTAATCATGTCCTGATTTCCCTGGGACACCATGCAGTTGCAAGACACTGCTTGCAAGCATCAGGCTTCACGGCAATATCCCAATAAGAGCAAATGTTTATGGGGAAACATATGAAAAACCACTTAGAAATACCATGCAAGAAAAGACAGGTTTGGGACACACAGATTTGTACTATTGTTGTATTTCCTCTAAAAAAATATTTTTCCAATGCTGTTTATATAAAAAAAATTAATTAGAGAAACAGAAAACAAACTTGTCCAACAACTCCCAAACACCCAAGCTGTAATGTATGTTATACAGAGGTCTCAGACCAAGCACTTGGGAGACTTCTTCCCCTGCCTGTTACAGGGAACTTTGTTCCTACACTACTTCCAAAAGCAGTAAAGCTATACATAGTGACAATTGTATAGGAAACTGCCTCCTTTGAGGGGGCAGAACAGCTGCTAATGACTGTGCTTTGGAACCTGACAGGGTCTTCCAAAGCCCACTGCTAGACTAATACCTTTATGGAGAAAATTGAACATCACTAAAAAGACATTTATGCATTCACCTTTAACTCATTCAGACTTTAACTAGGAAAAAAAAATCCTGAAACTGAAACAGAAAATAAACAATAAAATGAATACTTTAAAATGTACACAATGAAGAATAGAACCAACCTTCCAGCGTTGATAATATTGAGATCAGCTCCTGAGCAAATATCCTCCACAACATATGAATTCTCTGAGCAAGATACGTTTAAGGATGTATAGTTAGGCTTGCAAACAGTCAGGAAATATGGGGCCTGATATCCTGTTGATAGCTGTATAATATCAGTAACAAGAGCAGTTGCACAAAGACCAAATACATGAACACCTAGGAAAGAAATCAAGAGCTTGTTATATTATATGCATTAATTAGATTGATTAATTGTGCAAAGTACATTCAACAGAGCTCTGATGGCTTTTGTTATTGGACTTGAGAGGCTTTAAATGCAGAATAAGATAATTTAAATGCAGAACAAAACTTTATTGCAAAGTTGAATTCTTTAATATAAAAATTAGGATAGTTTATGCTTATTTTCTTCCTGTTGATACTTAAAATTTTGTTTTAATGTCTTGATGTCCTCTAACATCTTTTCATCAAGAGAGCTACAAGGGAGTTGCTTCAGTTTGAAAAGAATTTTTCTGAATTGACTAAAGAGTATCCAACTATTTGAGGAGAGCATATGTGCTTATCCAGTCCTCGGAGTTTCTCACTGGAAGACAGGTTTTTAGGAGTATGGACAACAGTCCATTAGATCATTGCTCTGAAGATCTGTTCTCTTTTTGCTACCACAGAATCACCAGCTGATAACTTTGGCTACTTTCACACCTCTGATGTTTCATGAGTATTGTGTCCTTGTTTGTCACTAATCCAAATATTTAAGTCTATTTCATAAGGGATCAATGCGTCAGACTGATTAATAATGCCAAATTCACAAGACAATTGAAGTAACGCATTTGCTTTACTGGACATTTTCAACTGCTCTTCTCCTAAAGATTTATCTATAATTCCCTACTTTTATTCACAGAAATAAATTTTTCATCCTAAAATTGAAAGAATGTTAAAGCCATTAAAATATGAAAAAACCTTCAAATTCAGAGTGGGAATTTGGGATGAAATGAATGTGTCTTTGTTTCCTCGGTGATACCAAACAGGAGAAGTGGATGTGGGGTATGTTTACAGTCCTCCTGGCTCATGGTGTAATCCACAAAGCCTTTGCTGCTCTTATGAAGCTTTACTGATCACAGAATGCATAACCTGACTTGTCACTACCTCTCTGTTTGCCAGATTACCAAAACCCAGAGAATAGTTGTCTACCAGGTTTTCAGTCTGCTGTCCTGCAGGTTGTCTTTGCCTAGGCAACCTTCTCTAATGAAAGATTTCTGAAACACAGTAAACCTTTTCTTTAGCCACTCATTGGGAGAGGAAATTAACTGTAAGAAGGGGATCAAAGTCCAGTTGCCTTTCAAAGTAGAGTTTTTCATAAATGACAATTAAAACAAAGTAAAATGAAAGAATTTGACATGTTCCTCTATCATTTAAGTTGCCAGATTCTAGCCCTTT